AAAAAAAACCCTTCTTACTCGAACTAAATTAACATAAAAAGCAAGGATCGCATGTTGAGTTTCGTTTTTAACTTCAATTTCAACGTTAATTGTTTCACAATGAGAGTAAGCGCCGGATTTCATGCGAATCGAAAAATTAAATGGTCCCACTTGGTTTGTATTCAAAAATCGTCTTATATCAGTAAATACTTCTTTTTGAATTATAACCGGATCCTGTCAAATAAAAACCATATAAAGCAGCGAATAACAGCCTATAGAAATATATTTTATAAATTACTCGTAGCTCTGGATAGTCATTTAAATTGAGTGCTTTATATACAATGAAATTTTCTTCGAACACTTTGTCTTTCCATCGTGGAATTTTAAGCGAAACTTGTGCGGTATATTCGATGTGTCCACAATTGCTTGAAAATGATGATGGCAAACCGTGCGGCAACGAATATTTAAACATATAATCATAAGTTCCAGGCAGTAGTTGAATTTCACCTGTTAATTAAATGTTGAATTCATACAGTAAAAAAATAAAATAAAAAATTGAAGCATTACCATCATTTCCGTCTGCCAAGCACTTTTGCATATCCAAAATATCTTCGTTGCCAACGAACGAGCCATCTCGCTTTAAATCATCTATCAGGAAACGTACATGCGTCTTTCCACGCAAGTGAATGTAAATGCCGCGAACCTTTATCTCTTCTGTCAAACTCAGCCGCACCGTTATTGTTATTGTTTGTCCACTGAAAACAATCTTTTCTGGATGATTTCCAAAGTTCATTTTGCATGTGGTTGGCATTTTGAATTGAATTTTCTTTACACTTTTTGTTCGACTTTAAATAAATAAATATTACGTTTGTTTCCTTTAAATCACATTTTGAATACGCTATTACGCATTAACTATCGATTTTTTCTATTGTTATGAATCACTTAATTCCTTTTGTATTTTATTGTATTCTCTAAAAATTACGGATATACCCTGAGATTTTTTCAAACTAAAAAAACATTTAGATAAACACTAATAAATCTAGATAGTTTTTTCTTTCAAAAAATTGTAGACAAAATTCCATTCTATTCTAATCAACACACTTTTTGGGATTGGTAAAAATTCAGCTGGGAAATGTACTTGCGTACAAGCTTGTTGCGAACGACACTTTTTCTACGCATAATATAAACACATGTTGCGATACGAACGGAAGATTCGTTGCGGTAGAATTATACGCTTTGTTGTGCGTGCACAGAAAAACTTTGAATTTTAGACGGCAGGACATGTACGGCGAACGCTTGGAAAATTTGATACGTACATGCATCGTATTTACTGTTTGTAAACATACACCACTATAAAGCCGCATTATTGATTGTATGGATTTCATCTATTTTGACCATTTTTTCTGGATCTTGGGGTCTTTAATTTATAAGTGGCGGTTATAGAAAATCATTTTGAAAAATGCACTGAATAATTTCCAAATGCAATAATTCGATGCTATTTCAAATCAAAGGCTATTAGTTCAAGTGAAAGAAAATCCAAATGGTATTCGAAAATTCGCTTTTGATAAGCCCACGGTTGAAAGTATCAATAAATTCACTAATTAGGGAATTTTGCTTCGAAAATGATGAAAAAAGAGATGATGGTAAATTTGAGAAAGAAGAATTGATTGTGTATCGATAGAGTGGGCCATGACATAATCAAAAATAAAATAATGGAGCCAATGAGAGACTGGCTCATCGATTCAATATTGTGGACTTTTCGCGGCAATTATTTATTTGAAGCCAACTTGGTGTAAAGAATATGTTCGCAGATTCATTTTCTCGTAATGACGTATCGTACACACGCACGCACATTCATCACCATCCTCATTATTGTTATGAACTGGATCAAACCCAAACCGCTTCGTTCAACAACAATTATTAGAGTTACCTCGACCTTTTTCCCGATTAACTATTGTCATTCAATACCCACAAGTATAATAGCTACGGGTAAAATTTGTATACATTTTTTCCCTAATGCTACCTTCTTTTTTCATTTTTCCTTTCTTTTCTTTTTTTTTTATTCATTTCAATGGATGAAAATGATGCCATTGCGCACACACAATGGTTTCGAATTCGAATAAAGAAAAAAAAAGTAGATACGTATATAATCATTATCAGACTAACGCATTACGGACGATCCAAATGTGAATAAACGCAAAATAAAAAGAAACGAAACGGATAGGATGTAGGCACCGTTTCATTTTTGAAATACACAAAAGAATCAAGTCAAAAATACTTATTCATTCAAATGTTACGCACACCACCAATGCAATGCGTTCGACTCAGCAAAAAAACTACGCCAACAAAACAGAAATGTCTAACAACACATACGCTTTTGTTATCATCAAAATTGTTCTGACGCTCATGAATCCGGTTTCCGATACCACATAGTCGACAGCATACCTTATATTCTACATAAATTCGGAATGAAGAATAGAAAATCATATATTTTTGTCTGGATCTATCTCCATGTAAAACACTTTCCGGAAAGCTTGATATTTTCGTCATTATAATTGCGCAAAATGCAAACTGAAAAACATCCAACACATGTTATTGCAGAAACAAATACAACGAATATTTTGCATCTTATGAAAGGCAAAGTGAAAAATTGATATTACGGAAAAATCACGGAATTTGATAAAATATGATGAAATTTTCATCTCAATAGTCACAAAACTAGTAAATTGTACAAAAGTATACTTTTTGAGTTCGAATTGTCAACCGAGTTGACTCAACTCATATATGAAAACAACTTAATTGGAACGAATTGAAAACAACGTCATTCAAAAAAAAATCACCTTAGGCCTTGAAATGATGTCAAACCAAATATTTGATAACTTTTTATTCATCAACAGCTGGCATTTTCAATTTATTATACGAATTACGTGTGACTAAACAACAAATGTTTTATGTGACATGAAAAAAATACCTAAAACGCAAAAAATAATCATCAAATGCAATTACTTTTTTTAAATGGGTGTTTATTCATCAAACCATCCGACACGAAAAAGTTTCTGTGATATCTATCTTTCGCAAATTTTTTTAAGTTTTGCGAAAGCAGCGCATATACCTTCTGTTAGCCAGTCGCTTTGTAAAAACATTCGATTTTTATTCATGCTACTTATAGCCGCGACCAAAATGTTGGTTACTTCATCATAATCTGGAACTTTATGATTAGCAAGCAATTCTTTGTCCCAAATGTCTTCGAAGACTCCTCTCACGTGAGCATTTTTGAAAAATTCAATTCTTTTCTAAAATATAAGAACGTTTTGGTTTTACTTAGAATTCCAAATAGATCAAAGGATTAGACTAACCATCAATTTCGCTCTAGCATACTTCTTGCCTCTTTCGAGACTTTTGGCCAACATGTAACCCTCGGGAATAAAATCAAAAACATCAAACAAAAGCATACCATCGTTACATGGTTCTAATGGTACACCGGCTAAGGAATAAAGTGAATAGACCAACGACTCAAGATCATCCATTGCATATCGATTTCGACCAGCGAAGAGATTTGCTGAAGCATATTGAACTGTGCCACCATCTTTTTGAGAACCATTTATCGAAGCTAGATTGAAATCTGAATGGAATCGTTATTATTGAGGAATTAATGAGAATGTTATTTTGGGATGATGCATTGATAAATCATCACTCGCCTCCAATAAAGATATTTCTGCCTCTGTAGAACAAATTTTGGGGTTTAATATCATTGTGCACAACGTTTCTGCTCTTGAGATAATCCAAGCCTTTCACCTGAATTTTTTAAATAATTTAGAAGATATTTCCATATTGTAAAAGATTGATATTAATAATTTCGTTGCTTGTGACTACCGTTTGTAGAAATATGTATAAAATATCGTTGTCGGATATATGAGTTTTATGGCGTTTTCCATAAAAATCGGACAAACTTCCATCGAACAAAGTCATTGCAATGGCAAAATAGTCTACAAGAAATTGTCCATAGTAATAGACTCGTGGAATTTTACGGTCTTCAATTTGTGGATCGTCCATTGCATTTAAAGCCTGATAAACTATAACTTCCTCATCCATGGATCTTTTATCCCAAAATATTTTGATGGCAACATCGTGTTTATCATTGTAAATTCCTGAAATTCATTTCAAACGAATTTTGAATTGGAATCACAAGTTAAGCAAATAACAAATTAATTACCCCTCCATACAAGTGAAGTGGCAGATCTGCCTAACTCTTTTCCTCTTAAAAGCTTCAACCGGTGTACACTTGATCCAGTCAAATCCTGTTCACCACTATTAAAATATTCATCTACAGAATCCTTCATCATAGATGGTAGAATCTCAGAATCCTCTCCGTTCTTTAAATGCAAAATTTATCAATTTGAATGTCGACATCGACGTATTGTGTTGCAACAATAATTAATCAATTATTGGAATAGAAGAGTAACGTATGCTTACCACTAGAACTAAAAGGCAGCCGATCAATAGACAATGAATTAAGACGTTCATTGTAAAAGTTTGATTTGATAATGATTTGTTTCTTTGTTAAGCCTCTCGAATACAATATCTGTTAATCTATATTGCTTATCGTTTTATATACGATCATTCGATTCTATAATGATGTTTCAGTCGAATTTTTCATAAAGAATTCACTAACGCAAACAGTATAAATAAAAGCACACAGCATTATAAATTGCGTTAATGGTAATTTTGTTTCTAAAACAAATGGAATGTAGAGTCTGGTTTGGTGAACGTCATAAAATAGAAAAACAAAAACAATTGCTTTATAGCAATTCCTTATGGAACATTATTATTTTGTTTATATCTGTCTTTTCTCTGTTATGAATTTTATAGAATGAAATGGGTGAAGTACAAAATTTCGTAATTGATCAAAGGGCGAGGGCTGTACATATGAATACTTTATGACGTCATAATACTACAAATAAACGCCATCTGAATAAAGTTTGGTAACTACCATACATCACTTTGAAAATAAAACGAAATATAAATCCAACATTTACACGATATAATACTCAATAAAGTATTTATTTGACTTTTTGTATGTATCAGATACAATGCATTAATCTGATCTTGATTGTGGTGTTCGTAGATTTTTACCTGTTCACTTCATTGAATAAATCAATGCGTTACATATTTCATTGTTTTGTTGAGTCCGTTCTTAAAACTCTTTGTAATTTTTTATTAATGTCACTGATAGCAGTTTCCTACATCCGTTTAACTGTATTGTAATCGAAAAATTCTTTGTTCCAAATGTCTTCGAATACTTTTCTCACATGCGGATTCTTGAAATATTTGCATTTTTCTAAAATATCAAAACGTTTTAATTGGTTTGGTAAATTAGAATTCTAAATAGATCAAAGATTGGCTAACCATCAATTTCGCTATAGCATACTTCTTCCCTTTTTCAAGGTTTTTGGCCAGAATATAACCTTCTGGAAGATAATCAATCATTCCAAACAGAAGTTTACCATCCGTTCATGGTTCTACTGGTATACCTGCAAGGACCCACAGCGAATACATTACCGACTCAAGATCATCCTTAGCGGTTCGTTCTTTTTCTGCGAAGAGATTTGTCCACTGCCCCATTTATTGAGGCTAGATTAAAATCTGGTTTTAAACAAATCGGACCGTGATTATTGAGGAATTTATGAAAATGGCAATTTTGGGATCATGCGAACAAAGAGGTAATGTCAAATGCCTTTATAAAGTCCCTAACGCAGTTTCTTACACTCTTTTACTCACACACAAACAAAACAAAATGTCAAGAAACAGCTGTTCGAGCGAACCATTCATAACCAACTTCATGCTACTTGTAGATTTGGAATGAAAATGATGTTTGAAATTTCTTTGATATTTCGAAAAATGAACTAATTATTTTGGAATTTTTTTATCTGTTAGAATAAAATAAATGTTTAAACATTTATTGTACTTACAATATTTTAAACATTCACTTATTATTTAATTTCCACAATTTCTATCAATTCACAAATTATAATTCTTACCAGTAAAGGTATCGAAGTGTTAATAAAAGTTTTCAATTTCACCTA